CAGGTTGAATTCCTATACACTTACGGTGTGGGGTGTGTGTGTGGAATCGAGGACCGACTGTTTCTGAACGAGAACCGCCCAGATCAGGCGAACGAAAGGTGGTGGGACGGACCACCTGCCCTGAACAGGCTAGGGACGTATTTCGCGCCGAGCCTCCATCCTACTCGAGGTTGCGCAAGGCCAAGAGCCCGTCATGGTGCAGCGGGGCTATAGCAGCAGGTCCGGCGTAAAATCCGGTAATAACAACGATCGCAGGGCACAGAGTGAGCCCGCGAAGCTTGGAGCACGCGCATAGGACGCACCAGAGGTCCATCCCGTCGAAGCAGATGTTCTTTATGCGGAGAAACTTGAGGAGGTGGAAGTAGGTGAGGAGTATCTCCTGCGCATCCTTGTCCGTCTCGAACATACCCCGCCAAAGTTGATCCTCAGGCTCTCAATCTCGTGCAGCCGGGATCGCGGGGAGCATCGCGCGCGAGGTTCAGCGACATGTGGAGGATCGCATCGAGAGCGCCACGTGCGAGTCCATCACCCGTTTTGTGAAGCTTGCGAAGCGGCAGTTCTCGGAATAGCTGGGTGAGTGGGCGGTGCGGACATTGTTGGGGACGGAGTGCCGAACGACGGGGAAAGAAAGCGGGCGAGCGGTGGCCGTTCCAGAGGCAAGCAAGGACGGACTCCCAGACGTCGAGGGGAAAGCTGTGAGTGAGACGACATGGTGTATGTCCACAGGGATCAACGTGGCTTTGGACTGCAGAAGCGTCAGGGTACGCTGCGGTTCCGTGTCACTGTAGTGCTCACCATGCACCAGCGTCCGCGCAGGCTGCCATGCGTGGCTCGGGCCACGACGCGTCTGAGATGTTATCAGGAACGGGTAGTGGTCCTCTTCGCGCGAGGACCGCCGAACGAGAGGGTAAGCGAGCAGGTGTAGGCAGGCGATGAGCAAGGCGAGCAGGTGTAGGCAGTTGAGGAGCGGTGACCGCACGCGGTAAAGCCGGTGGTAGTCGTCTCGCAGTTTCTGCTTCTTGGCAGGCGGCACATCCGTGTAACAGCGGCCGACGGGATCGTCGCGCGCAAGACGGCGTTGGCGACCACGACATTCACCCCTTCGTAACGGGAGTGGCAGCAAACCAGGGACACGTGCCCCGTTACTCTGAACGCACGTCCCGTACACGTCTCCTCCGCTCCTCCTTGCTTCCCTCACGATCAATCCTTTGCGACGGCCGCCCTTCACCTTCTCTCCTTACCATCATGGCTTCGACACAATCTCTAAACCCGCCGCCAGGCAGCAGCAATGAGAAGGCACCAGAGTTCACACCATCGTCCTCAGAAGCACCGCAGGACGCTGTGGACGTTACTCCGGACCGGCCTGCTGAAGAGACATGGGAGGACATCCCCGAGGAGATCATATCTTTGAGCATCCGTACACGAGTTCGGCTCACCGACAATGACTTGAAGGTCCGTCCACACAGATTTCGCGTGTAGAGCCCGACGCCCAGGGAACCTGCAGGTGATGCCCTCGGAGACGTTACGTCTGCAACAAGAGCAGAATGCCACGAAGGAGAAGATTCGGGACAATGGGGAGAAGATCACGCAGGACAAGGTCTTGCCTTACCTTGTGGCGAATATAGTCGAGGTACGCCCGCTCAGTCACCTTAGTAAGGCTACCAGCTAACAGAAGCAGATTCTGGACGTGAATTCTGAAACTGAGGACGGCAGCGCGAACCGAGACCTTGACTCTATGCGCAAGGGGAGATTCGCCGTCATCAAGCCCTCGACACAACAAACCGTCTTCTTCCCGCTCACCGACCTCGTCCCGCCCGAGAATCTCAGACCCGGCGATCCCGTTGGCACCAATAAGGATTCGTATCTGGTGCCTGACACGCTCCCGGCAGCTCGCGGGTGAAGGGCGATAGAGGTGGATGGGCGGCCGGCGGGACCTACGCTGACATCGAGGGCTGGAGAAGCAGATCGAGGGGCTAATTGAGGCGATTGTCCTGCTCGTGGAGCGAGCGGACGGGCTCAAGGCGCCTGGCATCAAGCCTCCGAAGGGTTCTCTCATGTATGGTCCTCCGGTGCGTCAGTCCCGACGATGTCTGGTCGCGGTCTGCTCAGGTTTGTATGGTAGGCAGGGTCGATAAGTGCCGTTTGGGTCTGGTTACGTCTTCGATCATATCATGGTCCTCGACACCTTCTAACCTACGCGTCTGCAGGACATCGTCTGGTTCGTCCCTCTCGACCGGATTGAGTTCGTCATGAAGGCCACCATTTTCAAGAGTTTTTGCAACCGCCACAACGCCGCAATGGCGCAGGCTTCCATCTCCCCGCCCACTCGGGTGCCCCCATGGCCCGCACCCAGTCCCGCGCGGCCTCCGTCACGAGTCCCTTTACTACAACCGTGTGTCGTTCATCGCGTCGTTCGCAGGGCCGGCTTCGGCACAAACGTCTCGATGAAGCCGGAGGTGCTTCCCACCTCCCATGTGGCACACGAGGAAGAGTCGTTTGGCAACCGTCTCGTCTGAGAATCGTCCGACGCGCAGGTACGTCGTTAACCGGAACCCTGATAGACTTCCGCAATAACTCCGCACAGATCTTCGTGTTCGGATTCCGCAAATCGTCCTCGCCGCGATGACGCACCGGAAGCTGTATGGCATCGACTCTGCGGACGGCGCGGTGAACGGTGGGCGATGGAGATGCGCCGCAGGTCGTGTTGGTCACTCAGAGGAAGGCGGGCAGCGTGTCTCGGAGCTGATGGCTGGAGCTGGCGCTGACCTATGGGACGATTGAAGTGTCTTGTGGGCATGACCCTCTTCCATGTGGACGCGCTGGCGGGCGAACATGCAAGAGGCGTGCTGGTATCTGCTGATGGATTCGACATCATTGCCTGGCCCGTCATTGAAGTGTACTTGCTCCGCAGCGGCTCCCAAGAACCCGTCGTCATGCTAGATGAGTTCGTGCAGTTTCGCAACCTATGGTACCTATCATACTGAGCACAGAGCCAGGCGCACGTCTATCTTCGAAACGGAAGAAATCAAGGAAGCCTCTGTCAACTCGTCCCATCCATCTTCTCCCTTCGTAACGGTGCTTCCGGCCAGCGTCGATTCTCCGGACACAGAACCTCGTCCGAGGTCGACTCCACCGACAAGCATATAACCAACATCACCTGGACGTTTGGCTTCGCTCCCGGCGAAGACAACCTCTCCATAGGCACATTGCATCCCTCGGCAAGGTTCCAGGTAACCGTGCGACATTGTCGTCACGCGAATTGCACCGTCATATGCGTTCGTCGTGCTGAGTGAGAGCTTCAACAAGGTTCAGCTTGTCTTGACTGTGGCCGGGCTAGCACTCGCCATCGTCATCACGAAATTCATGGTGAGGAAGGAGCGACTGCGTGAGCGGTGGTATGACTAGACGTGCGTTGAATTGTATTATTATTGTAATCACCTGGCGTCCGAAAACATTCGGTTTCCCTGTCGATGCTGCACCAGTGTAGCTGTCTCGATGGTACATGACAGCCATGTCTTGACCATTGCCGCGATTACTCAGTCTTTCCGCGTCGTCGCCCTATGGTTGACGGGACCATGTACTCCTGTCCCCATCTCCGCTGCTCCTACGGGCATGCTCCTTGGCTCGGCCTAAACACATGTATTACGTCGTGTTCTACATTAAGTGCCTACTACGGTCAGGCAAGGAGATTCTGAGGCACGAATGTTGAAGGGATTGTCTACGTCTGCTTAGGGAGATTACTAGTACTACATGCCCGCAGGCACCTTGCTTGTGGCCAGTCCCAGTCCTTACATTATTCGAAATAGCTTAGGCCTGCCTAAGATAGTGCGTCTCGAGTGCCATCCGACTGTTGGGATCCAACAGGCTCCTAACAGTCGGTCGTGGATATGTGATCATAGTAGGCTCGTCGACCTGCGCAGGGAGCAACAATGTCTCAGGCGGACAACGTTCACGACGAACATCTGGCTAAATCATTATATCTTACCATGTCTGACCGGCTAACAGTGCGTCGGACGAATGGCGCTACCGCTGTCATGGAGCCTTGGGTAGCATATTTTCAGGCCCCAACTTGGTCAAGGAGTCCGAGATAATGACCGACAATCTGTGCATCACACAGACAAAAATGATAAGGAAGTCAAGCATTATGATTCAAGCTCGTTAACGGTCGCTAGGATGCACTTTCGGCGATGGATGCATATGTGTAGCAAGAAGTTAGTTTATTCGGATTATACTATCGTAACTCGACAGACTACTGGTTACACGAGTGTAGAGCTGGCCGTGTATCACGTAAGATCGATGATTTCGTTAGGATCCGCTACTACTCGTTCTCGTACCAAGGGTCTCCCAGTGGGTCTCGTTCTAGATCTCGCCGACGTACCAGTGTGGCCTACTGACGCTTTCGGCGCTGTCACTTCTGTATGTCTCACCAGCAGGGGTGAGGCTGTCTTGGGCTTTCGAGCGTTCTCCGGCTCCGAGTCACTTGATATAGATATCGTCGACACATCAGAGAAGTGTTTGCGCCGCGACGGCGATGAGGATGGCGCTTTCGTGGCAGGAGGCTGGCGCACTGGCGACGGCCCGAGGGGAAAGGACACAACTGCAAACTGATCACCTTCACTGGACGATGAGACGGATATGAGGGACCTCGGCCGTGATGTGCCCTGTTTACGTGGCGATGTATGCTTCTGAGATTTGCGGGGGGATTTCTGGAGTGGCCCGTCGTCGTTAGCTGGGTCATTGTGCGTGCCGGCCGGAGACTGGCCGCGGGTCCACGATCGCTTTGCATGCAGACGACGAATGTTCCGATTCGCACTATCGGCTGCGAATAATACCGCAGACGCCTGTCTGTCGTCGTCGATGTCACTGTCGGGGTGCTGATGGTGGTTGACTTCGCCTTGTTTGGTTTACTGCTCATACGCACGGGCTGTTCAACGACTCCGGAGAACACCTTGATGCTGCCGGTTTGTTCAGGGACTGGAGCCATGATAGCTGGTTTTCCCTTGGCGGCGCAGGCGTTTGGCGTCGGTCTGGTTGGAGTCGGAGACCCGTCTGAACTCTCTTCTTCGTACTCCAAGCCTAACACCGCGACATCCTTCCCTGCCTTTGCCTTTGACCGAAGGCGTTGCTCCGTTTGACCTTGGAACCACGTGCGGTGCTACGAGCGTTCACTGCCACCTTTTCGGTCGTACGCATCTCCTGGATTCTTTCGAATCCCTCCACAAGGTCCGGCCGCGCGATGCGTATCATGCACGCGGGCATCCAGATCCTGAGGTGATCCTTAGGATTGGGTGGCGGTTTCGGTAAACGCTTCTTTCCTTGAACAACGCCGTCCGATTCGTCTCCTTCTAGCACGTTTGAGCCGCTGTCCAACCCCGTTGCCAATGCAGTACGGAGACCCCTCAGCCCGGATTCAGATAGTCGAACGAGATGTACAGGGGCAACCTCGATACGATACTCGAGAACATTATCTGTGGATGTATGTTGCCGAGACGAGTGGATCTTGACGATGAGCTTGTCTTCGTCGCCTTCATCCTCGGTGTCGCAGTCGGTACGTCCGGCGCGTTTAGGCGAGCTCAGGTGGAGCGAGGAGAAATGCTTCGTGATAATCGACGACGGCGTCCCAGGCACATGGCGCTCCCTATTCTTGTCTTTCCTCGTAGGGGTGGCAGGATGGAGCAACACTGAGCGGGCTGCCTGAGACATAGTGCGCATGTCCTCCGACAACGCGACGCGTCTGAGTATCCGCAGCACTACAGCAGGCCAAAGGATTGTGCGAAAACGCTTCATGATGGTCTCCTTGACGCCCCATTCGAAGTACATTTCGCACAAGCCAGCAATCTTTCCTAGGTCAGGCTCTTTCTCCCAGTCAAGCATCGTGATCTTCGGCACGCGGCCTTTGGAAGCTGCCTCCGACTCGGACGTGACAGGGTTTGTGTACGATAATAGGACATCGATGTCGGGAAAGTCCTCAGGGATCTTCTTCGCCAGCGCAGTGTACTTCTTGCTGAGGATTCCACGCGCATTTGTGTGGAGCTCAATGCGCACTTCCTCGACCCATACGCGTAGGAAGGCACGGAGCTCCGAGCGCGGTAGTGTGCGCGCTGCGTTGTAAAGGCTATCGCCGAAACCGCAACGTGCGAGCCCGTGCGCAATCGTGGAACCACACCCGATGAGACCGGCGGGATGGTAGTCGCCCCCACAGAGGATGCCCATGAGGATTAGTCCGCCATGTGTGAGCTCAATTGAGGGGTGCGTAAGTATTGCGTGCGAGGTGTACGTCGCAACGTGATTGCCGTCTTCGACGCCCGCACTATTTTTGAGGGCATGCGCGCGTTACCATACAGTGTCGTGCTTGGACTACCAAACAGAAATCATCAGTATCAAGGTCTAGGGATGCTATAAGAGATGGGCGATACGAAAGTGGGTAGGTTCGACACAAACACGTGGAGTATTTGCGGCGAGACTATGAAAGTGGGAAGAATGTAACGGGACATGCGAATTTGCATGCGCAAATTATGGCGATGGTTCCCTGAGGGCATCCAACTGCAAGTACTCAGCTCATAACAGAGATAGAGTAGACAGTTTCCAGACTTGCTACCTAGACCGATATGCACGTAAATTAGTGGGAGAACCACTCACTTCCGGACAATCATCTTCGCTCCAAAAAGGAATGCATCCACATCGTCGGTGTACACAGCGTCAATGACACCGATGTGATTCAAATAAGCGAGCTCTGCCTCCGCTTCTCCAGGTGCCTATCAGCCAAAGCGCGTTGATATATGCAGTGAGTTGAAACGTAGTAGGGATGCTACCCACCATGCACCACTCAAAACCAAATGCGTTGATGATCTCTTGCATGCCTTGTATCATCCAATGGTTTTTCCCACTGATCCTGTTGCCGCGCTTGGTTTCGGGCCTCTTTGGTCCGTCGAATACAAAGAGCGGTAGAAATGGGGCACTCATGAGCCTGGTGCATCTGAAGAACAGTGTTCGAAGTTCGGGGTTCTCCCCTGCCCGCCCGCCATGCGCTGCATGATAGAACCAGATGCTTGCGTCAATGCCGACACGGAAACCGCGCACTCCGTCTGGGTTGGCCTCGAAGCCGTCGACGACAGCTAGATGGGTAAGAGAACGCGTGTCTCCCGCCGGACGGAGAATCTACCCGATTGTCAACATTCCCACCATCTAGAGGTTGCAAGAAGAAGCACGTACATCCCACAGACCAGCAACACCCATCGAGTTGAGTAGGTCTGATACGGGCGGGTTTCAGTGGAAACCCGGACAAGGCGCTTATAGGTCCGATCCTGGGGCGGCCATAACCCGCCCAAATAGGGTGCCTATGTCGATCCTGGTGCGGCCGAGCTCCGATCCATATGTGGCCGTACAGGCTGTCGTGTCCGCATGTCCTATCGGCATGCGGACATAGGCAACCTTGTGGTCGCTGTCAATTTTCGGTGGGGAAAGCATCCTAGGTGAAGTTCACGCCGTACTACTAGTAAATGCAGCTAACTTCGGTACACCGATTCCTCTATAGATGACACGGAGCTCGGCGAATCCGTCAATATCAAAGAAGAAGATTCAGTGTAGACGAAGACTACCATACAGGGCCAAGCAGCTGCGGAGAAAGGCAAGTCATACTTCGGGTTTCAAGTGGTTTATTCCATGACTGATGATGGTGTCGGTGAATCCTGGTGAGTAGCGATGACCATGCGGGCGGGATTGATGCACGACGAAGGGCGGGGGCGAACTAAAGACGAAGTTGCCAGAGGACGAAGTGCACGTACGTCCGTCTGCTATCCTGCAACATTGTCTTGAGATTTCTTGCATGATGCAAAGCGACGCGAACGACGAGGATATTACCATGAGGCTACCGTCTATTGTTGACTGTCGGTCTCCATTCATACGAAAACCAAGCGAATGCTCTTGCCACGGTATGCTGCCGATATTCGTACCACCCACCATAACTTGATACGAATGTCTTACCAGTGCCCAATGAGGACGGCGGGTCAGATATCTTGTCGTGCACGCCTACCCATGGGGATCGCGCCAGCGGCCAGGAAACGGCTGCCTCTTCTTCAGCTATCAACAGCCTCGCGTCGTTTCACGCGGAAGAATGGCTCGGTATCGGCAAAACACGGAGCAACGGGATTCCGGTTCACGTTCGCCACGCCAGGGATCATGCGCGTACGATCCCGCAGAGCCTGCGATCCACATTCATTCCGAAAACATCCCTCACCGTCGATGCACTTCTTTGCTTTCAACCTCCGCTGCGGCCACCTACCACTTCCGCCTCGGTCGGGGTGCGTTTCAGCCAAGACTTACCCTCTGTCTTGGTCCAAGACAATGACTTTATGCTCGATGAGGAGGCCCTACAGCATATCATGAGTGCTGTCGAGCAGGTCAGCAGCCTACGCCAGATCTTCAACGATGCCTGGCTTAGTGGGGCTCGTTCAACATACCTCCCTTCCGACGTTTCTGGGTGATACCCACTTTGGGTCGAAGCCCTCCTGGGCGAACTCGAGACGTCAGAGCGGAAACACAAGAAGTGGCTCCGAGCGTCTGCATGGCTCAACCGTGTAGCCGACGGCAATCGAAGCTGCGTGATGCTCGCTGACTGGAAGAGCGCAGGGAGACATGGACGAGTGTGGCTTGGGATTCGACTGTCCCCGGCTTTAGTAGCCCCAGTGCTATTGACCACCGAAGACCTGGCATCCCTCCTTTCCGATCAGTGGGTCAACGGTGACATGGTTAATGCTGGGCTGGATTCTCATCTCCCGACGACTCTCAGAGAACAGCCGTACTCGCGTCGTGCTCTGCCTATTCAAGTTGAAGAACTCGTGTTCACCCTGTTCGTACACAACTCCCGCTGGACGGTTCTTGTCATATCACTCCCTACGTATACCTATACGTACTGCGACTCTAAGAATGCTGCCGCCAAACCGCCGAACAAAACGATCAAACTTCTTGAGTGGTGGCTGGGTCATCTGTGCTCTGACCTTGTCGCAAAATCACTCATCGTGTCGCCTTCGCCCTCTTGGTATGCCCCGAGACAGGCAGACTGCGACTCATGTGGGATCGTTTGTTATAGTCTTATCGCCGCAAAGCTTCTTCATTAAGAACCATGGACACAATCGACATCAGCCCAGCATCGAATGGAGTGGTATCTTCGGCTTTCCGAAGCGCTGCAAAATGCTAGCGAGGTATGTGCATGATCCTGTTCTGAGTCTCCTTGTATCTCACCGATGCTTGGTCATCTTCAGGATCCGTCAGAAATGCTGCGACGGACACAGACGGTGACGTCTGTGACTCGGACCCTGCTATCATACCTTCATCAGTCGACTCTACCACCTTCCCTTCCACGTCGTCTGGGACCCGACTCGGCAAGCGCAAACACGAGAAGACGTCATCGACCTCTACACTAAAGCCTCCATGTACACCCACTACTGCGACGAAGGCTAGGGCTTCTGCTGCACTCGCTCAAGCTGTCGCTGACTCGTCAGAGGGTGATTAGGACTCCCAGGATGCTCGATCCAAAGCCGATCAGCGCCAGAAACAGCAGGTGAGACGTACCACAGGAGGCGCATCATCTCAGCGGATGCCGTCTACGGAGAGCGCGTCAGACTCTGCCGACTCTTCCCTTCAGGCTTCGCGTCAAGGCAGGGCAGAGTCGAAGCGTGGCACGAAAACATCATCATCGTGGTCGAAGCAGAAAGCCCTGCGCAATCGTGTTCACGATGGGACTTTCAAAATCAATTACAGCAAGCTACAGTCGTTTCGAGACAGGGTCCGTGTGGACGACACCCATGCCGAGTTCAAGGCGAACGACATTCTAGCAGTACGGTGCTCGGCATGTGCGGAGTGGTTGACTATGCGTGTACCTTACGAAATCAAGAATGGGAAGACTCATCGTGCTACGAAAAAGTGTCTACGCAATGCTGCGTCTGGGCGATCAAACATCTCACTACAGAAGACGTTCGCTAGCAATGCACGTCCCGCGAAACCCAAGCCTATCCACACCAGGCAGCGTCTTTGCCCTATAATCATAGAGTAACCGACGTGCCGAAACCACCAATGGTATAGGGCCAGCCGACGGCGGCCGACACTTTGTACACAACCCACATCCGTTGATTGGCCGACCGTCGGCTACAAAAGAAACCGAGCGGCTGTACGCAGCTTGTACTAGGGCGCGTCTACGTGCGCGGCGCCAGGCCCTTGCAAGAGGCGGGCATTTCATGCGCGGATTGCGTGGCGGATTGGCCATGATGAAGACATCTACCCGGGTCGGCCGGGCTTTCTTTCGCAGCGAGCGCATTGCCTAAGTGACAAGTCGACTGGGAGAAAGCGAGCTGAGTGTCGCAAACACTGAATATATGTAGTGGTGTAGCCAGAACGTGTGTAGTAGTACTACGGGATAGTAATGTGGGCGGCGCCCACCTCAAATAACATCCCGCCCGTCTTCCTCGAACAGATCCTCCACGTACCGCTCTAAGTCCATCGCCTGCTGCTCCGTCGACGCCCAAACTGCCATGTACCATACTAAAGGAGCGCCCTGCGGCGCGCTCGACACCTTCGACGCCGTCACTAACAGGCCGGTGCGATTCACGTACGCCTCGTAGTGCACCCTGAAAGATTCAGTAATGGAACCTAGAATGAAAAAAAAAGGCAACGTACCACGGGTGAGGCTTCATGTCCTCGACGATCCACCGTATGCTAGCCAATGCGTCGTGAGGCGCGAGCGAGCGGGGCATGGCAGGCGCATCCTCGCTGGGCCGGACGTAGAAAGGCGGCGCGAGTGGATCCAACGGGAGAGCCGCCGTCTCGTATGCAGGCGGCGGCGGGCATTGCGGGGGTGCGCGCCGCGCGGACCGACGGATTGCGGGGTTTCGGCGGAGCTCAGCGCCCGCAGCCGGTGCGACTCCACGCGCGGAGTGAGCGACGTCAGTGGCGGGAGTCCCTGGGGTGTCGGCGTGGCCGGCCGCAGGAGCTATCGAAGTGGCGGCGGCCAGAGCAAGCGGGGCGGAAAGCGGGGCGGTATCGTGCGAGACGGGGTGGAGCGATGGACGGATACGAGCGCCGCGTGGGGCAAGACGAGGGGAGGCGGGGGCTGAGCTCGAGGAGTCGGTCACGGGCGAGATGTTGCGTTGGGGACGTGGGAGAAGCGGCGGTCGCCCTGCAAGTTTAAGTGGTAGAATGAGGAGGCGCGCAGCCCCAGGGTACTCACGATTACGTGTTTCCCGATCGACAGGTATGATGGATCCACGGGAAAATCAAGGGTTTCAAATTGCGCGCGGTTGCGGCGCATTGCACTGCGCGGCCGCGCGGTGCTCGCGGGGGAGTCGAACCCGCCATTCTTTGCGCGGGATCGCGCAAACTGGAATGCCATTGGTGCGGCAAACATCGGCCCACAGGCAGTAAAACACCGGCGGGGCGGCGGATCGCTCGCGGGATGGCTGGGGCGCCAAATGGGCGCTCCCTCGCTGCGCTGTGGATCGCCCCGCCGCCCGCCGTCACCGCCTGCGGCAACGCGGGCCCTGTCTCGGTTACGTCCCCATCGCAATCGGTCACACGCTCTGTTCGCAGCACGACGAAGCCCGTTCAAAACGGGCAGTGAGAAAGCGCCGGCCACCAACGTGACATTGGCTGCGCCATTTCGCACTGGCGCAGCCAATGTCGGCTAGCGAATGACATCGCAACTAGCCGACGCCCGCTCCCCGAGGACCATTGGCATAGCCGACGTTGGGCGGTCGATCAACACTGCGGCTGCGCTCGGCCGGTGTTCGGTGGCCTGCGAGGCATGCTCTCTTATGAGTTTTGAGCGTGCCCACTTGGGCTGCTAATTCTAATCGAGCCTGCCCATCTCGGATGCACCCGTGGTCACCTCAGCACAAGAGGTTGATCGGCCAATGCCGGATTGCCGATGGTACTCGGTTTATCCGACCTTCAATGCTCAATAATGATTCTGTGTACGAACGTCGTTTGCGCACGGGTAGATCTGAGAAGGGGGGACGCCGCGGCACGCCATAAATATACAGCCCTCAAACACCCGATGCGCATGGGTTCAGCCGGGGAGGATCGCCAATGCTCATAGTAAGGGATAGAGGCGCCATATGTACACATTAGTACCGTCAACGCTTAATAGGCCATCGGCCGATCCAATGACTATCGTACCAGCCGACCGCCGGCTGTCCCAGCACCAAGCCCAGACGACGCCCATCGGCCGACGTCGGTGTGCCAATGAGCCCGCGGCTTGTGCATCGTCGGTTAGCCAGGTCTCATTGGCATATCCGCTGAGTGGGCTCGCCTATCCGAAAGCTCCCGTGTCCAGGCCTGACGCACAAGTCCAACAAGAAGGTAGCATGCGATCTTCATCGAACGAGCACACCTGGGGGCAGCGCACCTTCCCGCATGAACATCGCACAGGAACTCTTCAGACTCAAAAAGAAGAAAGCATGCTGGGCCTTGCTATCGGACAGGCGACGGCAGATGGTGCCCCGCCATGAACAAACACTCTATCACTGGGTGAACCGGAGGGATGTCGGGGCGGTCTTTGCTACCAATTGCCACATTTTTGTGACCGTCTTAGGGGATGACGAGGAACCACCTCCCTGCGTCGCGTGTTTAGGACTGTACAGTGTCCATGCATACCAAGTTCGGCTGAATCGACCTATGCCGGACGAAGAAAAAATGAAGTTTGTCCCGATGATCATTTATCGCTGCCAAGACCTAGGGGAGCTGTACCTCAAATATAAGGGCCTTCGTCAACTAGTCGAGACGGTGAGTTGCTGTGTTCAGCGTTCAAAGGAGCCTTATTGATGCAAAGTTCATAGGATGATGGTCGCTCGCCATCGCTCAGATTCAGTCAGGGTGTCGTAGCCGGGCACTATCGTGACTATGACGTACTCCTTGGATGTGTAGAGGCCATAGTCACGAAAGTGACCCGGCGTATACAGAGGCAAATCACTACATGGCATGGTATATCCACGCATCTTCATGGACGTTGTCAACCATCTCGCAACGATCTCTCCACGGGGGTACAAGGTGTTTCAACACCACTTCGGAGGACCTGCATTCCGGAGCATATGGTGAATCCAATACTACTAGTACTCCGTCCTGTGCAGCTCTCATTCGCTTCGATAGTCGGTGGAGAGTGAAACTCTCGGTTTCTTCCTGGATTCGCGGCAAGTGACATAGACACTGCCGCATCTGTGCTTCAACAGCTGGATTATGATGGCCCAGTTGCCCTTGCCTGGGACGATACATCATTGGAGGCGGCACTCTCGATCTGGCAAGAATCAAAGGATAGCACCTGTGTCATTCTGGGTGCTGCCAGCGGTATCATCGAGGTCTCCGAGTCCGACGACCTAGACGAGGTCTTTAAGCGAAGCTAGACAGAGCAGATAAGGTATGTCCGAGTCTCACAGATGTCCTTGGTGTGATCATACTGACACATTTGTCCATCGCCGTGTGATTGCTAGCTTCTATGTCTTGACAATCCCTTTGCACAAGGTCACGGTACCTCCTATCATCATTGCTGCGATCGCCCGTGGCTCTCGGGATGATGCCGAATCACTCACCAAGATGCACCTCGAAGTTGTTCAGCTCCTCAACAATGCGACGATCTACCCGGTTTCTTTCCGAATCTTTCGCGTCCAACGGGTCTGACATTGAGCGGTCACTACAGCAGAACATTACTACTATACCCCCGGGAGGGCGTCGTCGTTGTCGACGATGCCCTGCGCAGACCTCCTCGTGGTCCCGCTGTTACGCGAAGCTGGGCGAGTGGAACACTACAAGCCGCAAGCTTGACAAGGCTACTAACTTCGAAGGAGAGTTCTGTTCTTAGACCTAGGAAGGACTCGAGTCCCTTCGTCCTAGTCGAGTTCCAAAGCAGTAGCGGTATGAGAAAGCTAGCGTCGATTGCTAACCAGGTCGAACTGAAGAGTCCGACCTCTACTGTACAGGTATATATACAAGGGGAGGAGTCTGAGTCAAGATGTACAGTAAGCATGAGTCAGGATGCGTAATCACTGACGAAGGGATTGATGAACATGATGAAGAAACGAGTCAGCAAGAGTCAGCTATCACATGATAGTCCGGGTGCAGTACAGTACATAACCGGTGCTCATGCACGTGAGGTGGTTAGAGATAACAAGTAAGAAGAAATGAAATGTACGTAACATGGCGACTTGTAACACCCACAAGGGATGAAACAAACATGCGCTGTAAGGCCCACACCGTTCGGCTGTTGAGCAGAGCAGCCGGGAAACTGCTCCCAACGACATCCGCTTCGACACATGCCAATCCACCCTCAAGTGGTACTTGAGAGACACCGTCTCCTCAAGCTCTGCCAAGCTCCACCACCATCCCCGTCCGGGACAGTGACCCTATTCTCTTACTATACCGCCTAGGACGCCCCCGGCACAGGCCTCTCCCCTCCTCCCCTACAAACCTCAGATCAGCAAATCCATGTGTTTGTCTAATGTCATCTAAAATGCCCTATACAGACAGTTAGGCGGCTTAGATGATTCAGGCACGATTAGTTGAGTTAGTAGATTCATGTCTAACACAAGACACATTTAGACACTGTTAGACCCAACAGAGCATTCACCAATTAGGACCCTCAGACACGAACAGACACATTAGTGTATCAAAAGGAAATATATTCGAATGCCAGATAGTACAGATTCTGATATACATCGTACGCATACATCACAGTTACTGAGCCACTGACATAAGATGACAAATGCGAGGGTGGACATGCAGTGCGGTGTGTCACTGACGCACCCAGAAATCCACCGCCAGTTGGTGGTGGACGGCAGGTTGAAGTACCTCGCTGGTACCTGTGCGGCTTTCGGCTTGTTGCCTGCACCCGCCATCCTCCCGTCCTCTCTGCTCGCTCATGTTCGCACATCCCCGCTCCTCACACACGATCTACAGCGTGCGGCGTCCATTCGTTAGTCACGCTCACATGCTGTCCTGCGGTGCGTTGTCTGCAAGTCTGCCTATCTGCCCACTCGCCCGCTTGTCAGCGAATCTTGGGGGTGTGTGTTGTAAGTGGTGACGTGCACTGTCCCAGCCTATTCGGTTGGTTCGCGCGTGTGCTGTCACTCACCTGCCTGCCTGCTCGTCTACCTGCCCGCCTGCACTCTCTGTTGCCCGTCCTCTCACCCACCTATGCTTCCGCTTGCCCGCCTACTCACGTGCCCATGTTTCCGTCTGTGTATGCGTTCGCCGGCCGTGTCTGCGTGCTGGGCATCAGCCCAGCACACTTCCGGTCGGCGTGTGTGTTGTCGCCAGCCCGCTCGCTCTCCCGCCGCTCGTCCACTTGTCCGCCCGCTCGTCCACTGTCCGTCCGTCGGCCGTGCCTGCACGCAGAGCATTGGCTCTGGGTGCTCGCGGTCGCTGTGCGCGTCGTGCTGCACAGCACCGCTGCGTCCTGTCTTTGCCGTTAGGGAGCTCGCTCGCGTATATGTGCACTCACCCTTATGGGCAATCACCCTCACCCGTTGTGCGCGTTATGTGCTACAGCACCGTGCCCTGTGCCCACCGATTTGCCCACCCTCCTACACGCTCATTTGGCTACCTCCTGTGTATGCGCTGCCCGGTCGAGCTGCTTCTCAGCGAAGATGAGGTGTTACTGGTCGGGCGGGATGCTGCAAACGTGCCGTCAGTCCTGATACACTGATACACTTCGCACACCGAAGTTCCGAGCATAACTCGCAAGGGCGAGCATGGCAGGTGATTTATCAACACACCACTGCGCTAGGCATGCAGAATAACTGGGGTACAGCTGGGTGATGTGGTGAAGAGGTAGGATGCACAACAGTATGGTGGGTATTAGGATAGAAACACTGTCGCACTGTTGACGTGGCGGTGGGAACTTTAGGGCAGGCTTCTGTGGGACTTATCGCTCCCTACGGCTTGCCAGTGCCAGCTGCCAGCTTATGCCTGACGCTGCCCAGCGGTCACGACAGCGAAGTCAAGTACTCATGTAAAACATGGCCCCAACACGCCGCCTGAGGACGCGCCCAACAGCAAGTTCAAACAGCATCGGGCGTCACAAGTTCGCATCGAGAGTGTACGCCTGGTGCCGCGCTGCTTTCCACGGGATGCCACCACTTCGAATGCGACACCAGCAGCCACATTGACCTCTCCCAATCGCACTACGAGACACACCTGTCATCCAATGACATGCAAGATCGATTTTGGGACTATTTGCTTGACTTTGCGTGGGTGACAAGCAACCTGGACTGGTCTCCGAGTCGTGCAACCCGCGTGCAACAGCCTCGGGACATGGAGGAGCATCAGCAAATTGGGCAAGTCCTGACAATCTGCCCATCTGAGATGCACCACTCAGAGCATCAGGGCATTTCAGGTGTCAGACTCTGTCAGACAGGTTCAGACAGGTTCAGACAGGTTCAGGAATCAGACAGGTTCAGATGGGTTCAGACAGATCCAAATCAATGCAAATAACAGTGACGAAGACTAAAATATAGTTTCGTGTGAATGGTAGTCACTGTACTTATTTACATAGAATGATTCAAATGCATCTAGGCTATACAAGAAATGAAAGTCGACTGGTATCGAAGCATCTCCATACAGTGGCATCAGGTGAACAGCACGAAATAGACTATCTAAATGTACAATAGACAATACCTGCTGTTCATCATCATCGAGCTCGGGCTGAACAACGTACATGCCAATCACATCGCTTGGATCCTCTAAGACGTCGAACCAATCAATCAGTGCGCACGGATAGCGTATACCACTGTATGTGACCGCCATCAGCCCCATGACCCGACTGACAGCCATCCCATTCATGCCGGGCTCATCCGCGTCAACACCAATGAGGACTGTATCGTAACGCGGGTTGCCGCGCCAAGAAGGGTTGCACCGAATGAGCTCCCGGTGCATGCCACGATCACCAGAGAGTTCGCTTGGCGCGAAGAACGTAGCATTCACTGACCGTTACACGGCGATCTTCCCGAGGCATTGCGGACATTCTGATAGGTCCACCATGCTTGAGTCAATTTCATCTGTGGCATACAGTTGGTCGAAGAGAAAGCGGCGGAGCAAAACGAGAAGGTCTGGCTGTTTGTACTCGGCAGCAAGCTCCTCAACACGGCGCATATAGACTAGACTCGTATGAGTATAATACACAGCTGCACTAAGTGAGTGAATTCAACTTACCTTGTCGCATTGGAAGCTCGACGACACCCTCCACAGCACCATTTACGTCCATCGCTTATTCCTCCGGCTCATCGATGTTGTCAAGAGCGAACTGATCTTCGGTTACAAAAGCCACGTTCATCGCGTCCGTGAGGACGTCGCCGTCAAGCATGTGCCGGTTGGCAAAGACTGACCGCGCGGCACTGAGCTTGTCGAGGCGTTGGTTGGTGCAAAGCATTTCGAGCAGAGCGTTATTCCTACTCGATCGTCGCCATGGCTGCTTGACCACACGGATGTGTTTAGATTCGGTGATCGACGAGCATATACCATTGGGCGAACCGAAAAGTCGAATGCCAGTAATGTAGTGGACGAGGGCATGTTGTCGTGGCAGCGAGAAACCCTCAGGGTGTACGCCAACAGTCTCGAATATGACACGATATCGGTGGAAGCGATCTAAGGCTTCTTGCATCGCCGCGAGAGAACCTTCATCATGAGCGGACCGTCGAGCCAGATAACAGAAGTCTAGGTATGCCGCAAAGCAGCGAACCATATTGTCCGGCACATGACCTTGTATGGCGGGAAGGTAGACCTTCCGTGACACAAGGACATTAGATTGTATTCTCGGAACGACGTCGGAATAGGGCATCAATTTACTCACCTTCATTAAGGCCTTCGAGTCGTTTCCAGTCCACTGCTTGAAGTTATGTCCTTCGGGAAAGTGGCGAAGTCCTGGGAATTGAGGCGCAGCGGCAATCCTTCGGATAAGTGATAGTATCAGCAATTTGATAGGTAGATGACATTAGGAAGCTCTCACCTGCGGTCTATATCATCCATTCTTCGACGAGCTTTGACTTTGGGATGCACGAGGTAAAGATACTGCTCCACCCAGTCGACGAGGTGGTCTTTGAAGGTCCCCTTGATGAGTTGGTGGAGGAGATCAGGGGTGAGGAGTTCGTAGATGTCGGCACGGGGGAAGTACGTCGTGAACAGCTTAGAAAGCGGCAGATGTTAACATAATCATTGTAACATTGGATCATCTTGACATACTATGATGTTCGCGTCGATTCCCCATGCAATCCAGACTTCGTCAGCATCGAATGTATTGATGACCTCTTCGGTGTGATCACGACAGCGTGGGTCTCCTCCACCTTTGTATAGATCTTCGGGAGGAAGGAGACACCTACCAGTTGGTGAGCAACACTACGAATAAGAGAAGAAAGATGTGTACTTCGGGCACCACCCGGTCACTATCCCTGATAGGACGACTTGCTCGGGATAATCTGCAATGAACGGCCCGAGTTGATATATCACTCGTCGGAAGTGACCGTCGGGGCAGCATACAACGTTGTAGGTTTCCATATAAGGCCGCAGTGGCGACATGATGTGCGCTATTGACACGTGGTACAGCTGTTTGCGGAACGTTCGGAACTCATCAGTCTCGGCTTCGCCTCGTGCAGCTGTGGTGAAGTCAATGAGCTCGGATCTCCTCGCTTCGATGAAGGAAGCCTGTGGCAAAAAGACATACCTTTTGGTATCGCCAAGAAAGCGATCGGGATAATTGCATCCTTGTGTGCACGTCTGACCGAGTTGTGGACATTGCCCACTGACATGTATAATGGATGGAACTCTGAATTGCCAGTTCCGACAGATACAGTCGTCTTGTCAGCGCCGAGGATCATCGGGGACAACATCGATCCATGGCTCTCCGGATCCTCCGCAATCTTCGTCTGTGAAGGGCATCATTGAGAGTAGATACACTTCGTAATACGCAGTACTCACTGCTTGTCTATACGCCCATTGCCCCGACATTGAGTTCGAGAAGCGTGTGGTATTAGGGGCGCTGTACTCCTGATAAGGAGTCGTATCGAACCGGCCATTGAAGTCCTCGTTGCCGATCATGTTCCGAGCAACTTGTCGGGCATTGCGGCAGTGAACGACGTAGTCAGTGCGCTTCCACGACGGTGAGTCCTTGTCCACAGGCCCAGTGTAGCGAACTGTGAATGACTCCCACGGCGCGTTGACGCGACCGAAAAGAACACAAAAGCCACACAAAAACCCAACCGTGAGGTCGAGCAGTGGTATGCGAGGCCTCTGCGTCTATGAGATGTACGGGGGACTGTACAGTGGTCTAGGTAAGAAGGAGGAGGACGGACAAGACTCCGAACAACGTGGGAGAGCTTCGAAGATGTCGAAGACTGTTCGGAGACGAGGACTAAGCCTTGAAGGTAGGAGGGAGGGTTTCGACAGACGGGTCGAACGAACGGTGACAAGAAAGGCGAGCGACAGCAAGAGGAGAAGTGTAGAGCCTCTCGGGGCAACTACGAGCTGGCGAACGTACTGGCGAACTGACTGACTGGCTTCGAACGTACTGACTGACTGGCTAACTTGCTGACTTCGAAAGTACTGGCTGACTGACGAACCTTGCCGGTGCGAGGTGAGATTGAGAGGGTAAGGGGGTCTCTGAGATTCGAAGGGAACAAATTCGAAGGGAACAAATCCCAGAGTATATACAGGAAAATACGGTCCGAAGACCAAGAGAGCCAAGAGAAATCCAAGAACTGAGGAATGAGAGTGATAAGGAAAATAGCCAATCGGAGACTGTCACAGCGCTCGACCCGGACCTACTAACACATGAGAGAACCCAACTCGGCCTTCCGCAAGTTCCGAATAACGGGCGACCGTCCCCGAACGGCGAAGGTCATAACCGGAGCCGGTGACAGTCCTCGAGGATATGAGACAGCCGCAGGAGTTCGCCTGACTTACACGAACATGCCGCACCTCGACCCAACTTCCAAAGCGTATGCTGCCCGCTATTATCGCCTCCTAGAGGTCCTCAAGACCAAGGGACTTGTCGAACCGCGATACAATGCCAACAGTCCCGGAGAGTGGCTGGCTTGGGCCCACGGAGTCCGTTGGATGATTGTACGTGCCTCCGAACTTAGACTATCCTTCAAACCATCAAACCGACCTTCGAACAGTGCTTCTTGTTCGAGTCCCGTAGCCGGGTCATCCTGCTAGCGAACGATACACTTCCTGCTCCAAGGTCGTTCCCTGAGATCAACGAGTTGATGTGTTACCTCGACGAGGTCTTTCACCGCGATGGCAACCACAATGGTCGAGGGGTTCGGGGGAACGTCGGCAGGCATCGAGGACTTCAAAGACAGTGGGGCAGTGGATGGACAAGGAGAGCGGGCTCGCGGAAGGGGATCTACAGGTGCGGAAGGAGTAGGGGCAGAGGGGAACGGGTGCCAGCAAGGCAGGAACATGGGAATGGTGGCGGAAGGGGGCTTAGAGGACGGGGCGGGAGGAGGAGTTAGTTACCTACCACAACCTCTCAGGACTCCGTATCTAGGTTGCACCGGGCAATCTCAGGCTTCAGGTCTCGTCTCAGGCAGAAGTTCAGGCTAAGGAAGGTCGTCAAGGTTAGGCTCAGGCTCAGGAACAAGGAAGGTTCAGGCTTAGGACCGTCGGAAGGAAGATCATCGAGCCCAGTAGTAGGCTTAGGAACATCAGGAAAAACTGCCCGGGTGTCCAAGCACTTGTAGATCCCATGAGACCAGTTGTAGAGCGGACAGACCAGCTCTCGAGCAGACATAGGCGCCCAGTACTCTACAAGACAAGTCCCTCGGTCTCAAGTGCATTAGATTTCATTGTTCATGTCTCAGAGAGCCTATCAATTTATTGAATCACTTTGAGAGCTGGCTCAACCAAACAATCTTTGTAGCTTCCACACGCTCTCAGCCAGGTTGGGCTTACTATAGAATCACTTTGTTGTTTTCCTCGACCCCGCATTCCAAATCCAGCTCAGTATTCGCTGTCGACACATCTTCTTTGCAAGTTGTAGGGCACATCAATTATCCTCTTGATAATTGTAATACATGCACAGCACGAACAAGCACCTACACCCACTGATACAACACCTAGATACTACAACATAGATGGTATAGAGACAAGACACCAACGAGGCTAACACAGCAACCCGCAGCAACCTACGGTCAGATCGGTAACACGGTATCCTATCGTACAGGACAGATCCACGAACTAGGCATAGTGTCAGTCTCACATAAGAGTGATATTGTGTGGCTCCGACTACTTACCGTGTGTCCCGACGACAACATCTTACTTGGTCTTGGAGCTGCTCGCGACTGGAGCGAGGGGGTACAATACATGCCCTGCCTGTGCCTGTGCCTGTGCACCCGAGACAGCGGACGTCGATGCCTTCTTCTTGCCCCATCGGCCGAGAACTGCCTTCATGTCAATGCCATCATCGAGCTCCTCGGCGTTGCCCTCGTCCCTCCGGTTCTTGTCGTGGGCAATGCCAGCAAAGGCCCTGTGTCACTTGTTAGCAAATTTGTTTGATGTAATGGGGATGACTTACATGATGTTGGAGGCCATAGTGTTGTTCATTGATTTCACGAGCTCGGCAACACCTTCGTCGTACATCCTGCTGTTTGCATCCGCATGTCGTCGCAGCTTGTCTATGCCAGCTTTCAGGTGATCATGCCTGCCAGAACCAAGGTGATTAGCAGCTGAAGGCGGAACACTAAATAACTCACTCCATAGCATACGTCTTTTCATCGAAGTTCACGGTAGAATTGCCGGCCAATGCTTCATCGAATGCGACTAGAACCTGTCAATGTGTCGAATTATCTGATATCCATGCAGAAACTCAGGTACTCACTGCGCTACAGGTCAGAGCAATCATATTGCTCGACGGCGGCTTGACGTTGATGTCAAAGCGAGATCGGTTCTCGCGGCGGAGGGCTTCCGGGTGCTGCCCAAGCCACCACTGCCGCGCCATGATCTCCGCGATCACAACACTGTGGAAAGGCGTGTCAAGCTCCGGGTCGTCCCACAGCTTACTCATAGCAGTTAGCAGAATATGTCAAGCACTACAAGGCATGAATCTTACCTCAGGGGAAACGTCCGGGTCCGGCATCACTATGTTCCCGTAATGGAACGTATTGTGGTTGCGAAGGTATTTAATCCGCGCTTCCTTTGCCTTCTGCAACTTGTCATTGCGAGCAACCGCGTCGAGGCCAACATCGGAGATCTTGACTGATAAAAGTTCCTTCTCTACCACCCGTTTGGCTTTCTGCTTCAGCTCCTGCCGGACCTGTGTGGCAACTTTGTAGACCTAGGGGCTCACAAGATGACAGTCTACCAATGACTCGTAGCATGGTAGACACTTACAAACGTCTCCTGGAAATCATCAGCCTGGTACTGGGCGTTCTTCTCGACCAGCAGCTCGATAATGTCTTGAGGCACGTCGAACTTCTCGACCCTCTGGCCCCGTTTGCGGGGGCACGCATTCTCGACCGCGATGTACACACGGAGCTCTTGCTGGGCCCGCTGCAGGAAGCTCTTCATGGGCTCCTTCGTCAACGGATCGTCGCTCGACTGTGACACGGTGTCCTTCGCACGGGGAGTCTTCGGCAACACTTTCTTCTTGCCCTTCCGGCCACTGTGCTGGTCAACGTCCTTGATGATCAACTAGGGTGCACGTCAGTAAAGTCAATAATGGCCTCCCATCACCCACCCCATCATCTGATCCATGCACCTCGCCCACATCTTCCTCACTCTCGTTGTCCTTCTCGTCGGCTGCCGGCTTGAAAGAACTACTGTCCTCGCCCGAATCGTCAATGTTGACGGGGGAATGCACCAACAGCGAGTTGGTCTTCTGCTTATGTGGCCGCTTTGTACGTCGATCGGGGCTGCTGCTTTCCGTAACACGAGGACCTTGCATATGGCAGTCAGTCGCGGAGTGGGTCGCGCATCAGCATTGTAGACCGTTGTGTAGGTTGCGAGTCTCCCGGGTCGGAAAGAGACCGGAAGGAATTGATGGTGTCGGTAGAAACGACGGGCGGGGGCTGTTGGCAAGCGGATGGGAAGGGGATGTGACGATTTGGGCCCGGAGGGGACGTACAAGCTCAGACACTCGTAGGGGCACTGTAACACGGTCAGAGGAGGGTGGTGGAGTCGTCCCACAACGCAGAGACTCGGAATGAACGCATAGAAACTCGTTGAAGCCGGATGAAACACAGAGAGCCGGAAGGAAACACGGTGCTCATTGAAGGTGAACGCGGTGATCTATTCGCAACACAGTAAACACAGTAAACACAGTAAACGCAGAACGCAGTCAGAAACGCAGGGAATCGCAGTTGAGCTCGCTCTCTACTCCTAGGTGGTAGGTAGGTAGGATCTCCCCCATCCGGTCCCTGGCTCCCTCCCTTATGTTCCCTCCGGCTTGCTCTCCCACGCCTCCGCCTCGCTGGCACTCCTCCCCGTACTTCCCCGTTCCCTCCGGTCCCTCTCAAGCCCCCTCCTTCCCTTCCTGTACCGTCCCCCGTCCAGCGCCATGCCCTCGATGCCCCAGCCAACCCCTCTGCCATCGTCTACTCTACTCGCTTCTACCGTCTTCTTGCTCTCCTCCGGGATGAACGAGTCGTCGAGCCGCGTCTTGTCGCTGACAATCCTACCGAATGGTTGGCCTGGCCCACGGCGCCCGCTGGATCGTCGTGGGTGATATTCATCTTGTATATTCTCCTTCTGGCGGGCTGATGCTCCTTCCGGTGTGTAGCGCATGCTCTTCGACTCCCGGGCGCGAGCTACTGCGCATGGCGACGTGTCCCTCCCTCTCATCCGCGGTTCTCCGATGTCCAGGATCTGATCGACTACCTTGACCAGGTGTTCTCGACCATCGCGTCCGAGCATAGCGTCGTTGGCGAGCCGTACCCTGCTATCACCTGGTCCACCAACCGCGTCGCTGTTGAGCAGTCCGATGTCGAAGTGGGCCGTCCGTTGCTTCCAGTCTGGTACCTCGAGAGGCCCATGCAGCTCTCTCCCCTCCGGGCTTCCTCCGACAGCCTCGACGCGCTTATCTCCCAGCTCCAGCGTTACACTATCCGGAACGTACACGCCACGGAAGACGATCGTGCACGCCGGTAAACACTGGACGCCAGGCGGAGGAATACAGCGGGTGTGTTGAGCCTCGGACTGGAAGGAGGCGGACGCGTCACGTTGAACGCTGCTGACTATTCTGGCATTCTGTGTTGCCTTCAGTTTCCTCTGGCGCGTACTAGTGACGACTTTGAGGATGTGGGTGTCGAAACCGAGACCGAGACTGATTTAATGGATGAGGGGGAGAGTGTGCGTGAGGAGTAGTTCGTTCCTGTACCCTCCGGTGCCGTCCACGGCTGCCTCCGGTTGCCCTACCGAGTTGCTTTCCGGTCGTGCTGTCTGGGTAACCTATCCTTCGACATTCCTTCTGTGTGTAACATCGTCTGTTGTCTCCTGTGGTCGTGTGCCCTATATCCGTTGGTTCCGGGCCTGCTCTGTGGGGCTTCCCCACACCGTGATAGCATCACCTTCATCAGGAAAAACCCATTTTCCTTGTTTGCACTTCATTCAATTTAATTGTGCCTCAAGCATCATCTTTGTGCTTATAGGCATCATGATGCGTCGAATGCATAAATATGTATAGATTGGTTGTATGCCAAACTGACTGAAGCCACATGAAGACCCCGTAAGAGTTGCAAATGCATAAATATGCACAGATTGACTGTATGCAAGAGTGACTGAGGCAACCTGAAGACCTCGTAAGACTCACTGACATCTTTGAGAGCGAAGAGAGTGAAGAATTCACATAGATCAGACAGTATGATGATGCAGGTTAGTTACTGAGACTGTAGAACTACCAGAACTACCCTACTCCTATCCTGGAGGCTTAGATGCCATCAACCTGGAGCTATATCGCTGCTGTCCATCCGTCCACTGTCCCCGCCCATCCGTCGTCTATCCGTCGTCCATCGATTCGGTCATAGTCGGGCAGTCCGTCGTCGTCCGTCGTCGCCCGTCGCAGTCCGTCGCAGTCCGTCGCAGTCCGTCGCAGTCCGTCGCAGTCCGTTGCAGTCGCCATCTGTCGTGCGTCAGTCGCTTTCCGTCGTCGTGCGTCATCGTTGTGTGTCGTCTATCCGTGTCGTCCATCCGTCGTCCGTCGATCCGGTGTCCATCGATCCGCCCATCCGTCGTCTATCCGTCGTCCGTCCATCCGGTCATAGTCGGGCAGTCGATCCGGTCATAGTCGGGCAGTCCGTCCGGTCGTCGTCGGGCGTCCGTCGTCGTGCGTCTCGTGCGTTGTCGTCGTGTGTTGTCGGTGTGTTGTCGGTGCATCGTCGGTGCGTCGTCGTGGGTCCGCTCGCCGTCCCTTCGTCCGTCCGTCGTTGATCAATCCTCCATCCGTCGTTGTCGCCCTCCGTTGTCCTTCGTTCTCAGTCGTCGCCGGTCGTCGCCCCGGCCCGTCATCCGTCCGTCGTTCGCCGACCGAGCCCGTTGAGCGCCTCGATGCGCTTGCGCTTCCGCTGTGCCTCATCCTCCGCCGTGAACTCCTCCCCCTCATTGACCATCCGCTCGATGTCGTCGGGCGACAGGCGGCCCTTTTCGGACGTGATGGTAACAGAGTTCGACTTCCCGCTGTGGGCAAATTAGTCACGCTCTACCCGCTTACAAGGAAGCATCACTCACGCTCCCATGTCCTTCGCGAAGATCTTCATGATACCGTTCGCGTCAATTTCGAACGTCACCTCGATCTGCGGGACACCACGGGGCGCGGGTGGGATGCCAGAAAGCTCGAACTTGCCGAGCAAGTTGTTGTCCTTCGTCAACGACCGCTCTCCCTCAAAGACCTGGATCAAAACTGTAGGCTGGTTGTCTGCGGCCGTCGAGAAGCTAGATTCGTGGGCGTCAGCACGCGCCCGCCCCCGCATCAATGAAAGACTCACATTTGGCTCTTGCGCGTGGGAATGACGGTGTTGCGGGCGATGAGCTTGGTCATCACGCCGCCAGTGGTCTCGATACCGAGCGTAAGCGGGCAGACATCGACAAGGACAATGTCACCGAAATCCTTGTCACCCGATAGAATTCCACCCTGGACGGCGGCACCGTACGCGATGGCCTCATCGGGGTTGATGCCCTTCGACGGCTCCTTGCCAAAGTACTCCTTGAGGAGCTGCTGGACCTTGGGGATACGAGTCGAGCCACCAACAAGGACGACCTGAGGCAAACATAAGTCAGCAGCTCGCGAGTCTACTGCGTCGAATACCCACCTCATCGACATCCTCCTTCTTCAGGTGCGCGTCCTTGAGCACCTGCTCAACCGGCTTCATCGTCTTCCTAACAGATCCATGTTGAGCTCCTCGAACTTGGCGCGAGTAAGCGTCTCCGAGAAGTCATTGCCATTCTCGAAGCTTTCGATCTCGACGCGGGTTGACTGCTGGCTCGAAAGTGTGCGCTTCGCCTTCTCGGCCCGAGACCTCGGTCCCCGTCTTCTTCTTGTACTGCTTGATGAGATAGTCCATCACACGGTTGTCAAAGTCCTCACCACCGAGGTGGGTGTCACCAGCAGTGGCCAAGACCTCGAAGACGCCGTCGTCGATTGAGAGCAGCGAAACATCGAAGGTTCCACCACCGAGATCGTAGACGATAATTTGAGATTCGCCGCCCTTCTTGTCGAGACCGTACGCGATGGCAGCGGCCGTGGGCTCGTTGATGATACGGACGACCTGGAGACCGACGATGGTGCCCGCATCCTTCGTGGCTTGGCACTGAGCTTCATTGAAGTCTGCACACGTGGTCAGTAGTATATTAGACAAAAAGACGTGAGCTACAACACTTACATGCAGGGACAGTGACAACGGCGTGCGTGACAGTCTATCCGAGGTATGCCTCAGCGGTCTCCTTCATCTTGCTCAAGACCATGGCTGAGATCTCCTCCGGGGTCTGACACGCACGCGTACTGCGAGTAGTCATTCCGGACACTCTCTTCTTCCGGTACGTAGTTTTGATACCGTGCGGCACGCGCCTTCTTTGCCGGTGGCAGGTCCTGACGAATGAGACGGGGTTTGGGGGAAGTTGAGGGGAAGAGGCCGAAGATATTGGCGGCGAAGGTGGTGGCGATGGGATCAGTGGTGATTTCAGTAGGTCAAAGGGTGGTGAAGATAGAGCTCTGAGCCTTTGACGACGATGGTGCTTCTGTGTCGTACGTATGCGCTAGCGAGGTCGCCTGGCGAGCGTGTGCTGGGCCCGTTGCTGGAGCAGGAAGGCAGGGGCTTTGTGGCCGCCGACGGTGTCCCTGGACGATGCGGGCGACCTGGAGCGGGCAACTTGGACTCCGAGTCCAACTTGGAGCGGGCACTTGGAGTGACGTCGCCTGGCAAGTCAGGTGAGCATTCCGCTTGACGCCTGTCGATCGCCACGACCGCTCACTACTCGGGCAGCCAAGACTAGTCTGACTACCGCTCTCACCTTGACTCTATCTTCGATGCTTAGACTGTGGCGGTTTCTGTCAGCTCATAGTCCCGCAGCTTGGGCGATACGCAACCCGGCTGTGAGACCGGGAACTCACACGATGCGAACGCAGCGCCGAGTGACAAGATCGCTCAGAACAAGACGCCGAATACGGATCTGAAATGGAGTGAGAGGACCGCAAAGGAGACGGTGAGGTAAGGTGCCGCGAAGACGAGCGGGAGAGCTCGCAAGGCCACGCACCGATAGTGCAGCTCATGAATGGGACTCCGGTAAGCAGGAATTTGATCGCTCGCTCGCCAGTTAGCTCGTCCACTGTCCACTCCGTGCCCTTGTCAGCTCGCCCGCAAATCAGTTCGCTGTAGCATACGTCTAACCGTTCGCCCGCCCGCGCGCCCATCTGCCTACCCGTCTGCTCAGCCGTCTACTAGCCCTGAGCACCCCCGACGGTCCGTGTCGCAGTGCTTCGTATGGGCATCGCTGACGTTAGGTCTAGCAGAACGAGACCGACCCAGTCTGAAGGATCTGCCGGAGTACCTAAGCTTAAAGTGTCTCGACGTGTGAGTAAGGCTGCTGCTGACCGCCTCAGGCCGACGCCCGACACTGACGTGCACGAGCAGGTACCGTAACCGCCTCAACGAGTGGTGTCATTATCGCATCAACTCCAAAGAGGGCTTTTGAGCAATGGGTGGTGATCTGCTGCACGTTGTGGTGCGCTGGTGCGCGAGTACGCATGGTTGTGCAGGTTGTGCACTTAAGCACAAGTACAATGTGTAGCACGCTCTCTCTCGATGTTCAGATAGTTCAATACATTTCGTTCGATCTGCTTAGTCCATCGTGCGAGCGTAAGAGGTACAAAAGTCACAATCGAAGCAAAGCATATTGAGAATTATTCTACCAAAGGGTCTGGTATGCGTACTTCGATGCCCAGTGATTAAGCCAGAATTTGTTAGCCCTATCTAGTACGTTATTGGTGTTCCAGTCATAGGGTAAGGTGTCTCTAGTAACATTATGTGGTGTTCGAGGGGGACGTGGAGCTAGCTGACAGGATTGGCGAATGATAGACAAGGGAATAATCTCACCGACCGGCTTGCCATTCGAGCGAAGGGGAGGTTTGTGTATCGTATACATCATATGTACGGGATCTGCTTGAGCTTCTAACTTGGAGAACCACTCAACTTATGCAAGTGGCCCCTGGCTAGCCCAATTCAATGGTGCTTGTAGCGGCCGGAGGGTTCGAGGATCTTTGAGGTCACGAGGTAACTTGAATATAACCTTGACACGACCTATTCTAGTACCTGTAGATATATGCCAGTTAGAACGCTAAGACGTTAGTAGGTGAGACTGCAGACCTTGCAAACCGGTAGCTTCTGTGTCCTCTCCTTGCAGCACAACCACCATATCGAAACGCGCTGTGGGGTGGGCCCACATGGGAGCAGCGGCACGACCTCAATACACGACCTCAATACATCGCACGTACAAGTCAAGACGGGAAGGGGCAGCAACCGGCATAGGGCAACATTGATTGTCGAACAAGCGAACGCAACATCGATTGTCGAACAAGCGAACGCACACGGCGGAAGAGCTAATCGAGCACCCAACCAAATACATGCGGAAGGAGGAAGGCTACTGTACATGAACGGCAGGTCCCTCCGCCACCTCATCCTCGACCTCTCCCTCCTCCATGGCCTCGACGTCCGGAGGGCGTGCAAACTGCAGGCGACGCGGTATTCCGGAGTAGCCGTCAGGCACGTACACTCCCTCCGACAAGCGAGCGTGCAAGTCCCGGACGCCGGCCTCAACGGAACCCAGGCCTCGGGCGAAACGGACGGCTTCGGAACGAGCGTCGCGGTTGGCGGTCCGGCACTCGTCGAGGAGGCCTTGGAAGCGGGTGAGCAGACCATCGAGGCTGTTGGAGGAGGCGCGGAAGGAAGATAATTGCATGGGCCGTTCCATGTACCGAATCGGAAGAAGCGGGCGACCAACCTCGGCATCGGATTGCTCAGCGGTGACGCGGTTTGGAGCCCAGGCGATCAACGGGTAGGGCTCGCCGACGTAGCTATGCTGGGACGGGAGAGTCAGGAAGACCTGGTCGAGGTACTCGATAAGATCCTGGACGTCCGAGTACCGGCGGACAAGCGGAAGGGATGCGTCGCCGTGGGCAACTGCGCGAGACCGAGAATCGAAGAGCATCCGCTGTGCGGAACGAAGGCGGGTTGGCGAGACGAGGAGGATGAGGCGGAAGAAGGCACGTACGATTAGCCATCGGGCGCCATGGGCCCAAGCGAGCCACTCAAGGTCGCTATCGGGGTTCAGACGGGGCTCTACCACACGCTCGTCACGAATGAGGTCGACGAGGCGGTAGAAACGGGTGGTGTAGACGATGGTCGAGGGGTTCGGTGGGATGTCGGCGGGCATTGAGGACTCACACGATGGTGGACTGGGGCACAGATGAGGATGGCAGGGACGGCGGAGGGAGACCCACGGGGGCGGAAGGAGTAGGAACGGAGGGGAACGGGTGCCAGCGAGGCAGGGACGTGGGAAAGGCGGCGGAAGGGGGCTAGGAGGACGGGGCGGAGGGAAGGAGAGTTAGTTACCTACCACTACCTCTCAGGACTCAGTATCTAGGTTGCACCGGGCAATCTCAGGCTTCAGGTCCCGTCTCAGGCTCGCGTTCAGGCTAAGGAAGGTCGCAGAAGTTAGGCTCAGGCTCAGGATCCAGGAGAGCTCAGGTTAGGATCGTCGGAGGGAAGGCTATCGAGTATACCAGGCTCAGGAAAGGCGGTCTTCACTAAAGGACATCGCGGACGAAGCGTGCGGCGCACCACCCCATCTCCCCTTTTCCCTCCGCGAGGTACCACGGACCTCGCTCGCTTCCTCCGCGAACCGTCAACTTGCACCAACGACCCCCGCCCATCGTTTTCACCGATACCAAGAATTCCCTTCCGCGTCGTCCACGCACCGGGGACTCGCAATCACCACAGCGCGCTTGTCGAGCTGTGGCAGGCTTAGCTTTCACAGCATCCGTCTCCTGGGTGTCGTCGGTCAAAGGTTCTGGAGCAAACTTGAAGCCGTGGAACACGTCGACACGGTTGAACGGCATGCGATCGACGGCATTCTGAAGCTGGGAGGAGGTGAGGGCGCGACCATTGTTCTTAAGCTTGTATATATGTTGTGCGAGTGCGTCAATGAAACCGGGAGCGCAGTGTTTGTCGACGATGGTTGGGAGGGCCTGGAGGGGTGCTGTTGGGTGTTTGGGGAGCTTGATTCGACCGTTGCGACACGAAGGCTGGTCGACTTCGCCTGCGACATGCTCGTCGACTTCGCCCGCGACACGCTCGTCGACATCCTTGTCTTGCTCGCGACCTGTGCTTCTGAGCCAGCATGGATGGATGATCGAAGAACCACCATTTTCTCCTGTCGCACCAGCCAACGCACCATCTGCGGGCGCGCGTCGCGATGGTTCGATGCCCTCCATCCATTTTTTGCGTAGTCTATGTGGAGGCGTTCAAACGCCTCCGTGTTGTAGTTGTCTGTAGTGCCTAACAGTCGAATGGCGTCAACATAGTGGAGTAAAGAATGAAATTTGGGGATGTTAAGGTGCTCGCGCACTCCCAGGTCGACAAGGACGTGCTTGTTACGGTGGAATGTCTTGAGGGCATCCTCCATGTACTGGAGCGTCGTATCATCGTGGGTAGTGTATTGGGCGAGATAGATGAAGTCCAAGATGGACCTAAACGCCAGGATGACCTGCTGAGGTACCTTGCCTACAAGACAAGCGAGGAGTATCCTCGCCATGTGCTTGCGCTCGGTACCGGAAACTTGAGAGAGGCTTGAAAATCCGTTTTTGAAGTGGCGAGTACCGAATGCTGGCGGAAGGCAACGAATGCGCCTGTCAAGCTCGAGCTCGTCGACGAGTTCAGTACACCATTCAACTATGTGTTTGAAAACTCCCTGGTAGAGTTGATGGAGGACGTCAGGGGTAATACAAGAGTGGATGTCTGTGTAGGGTAGATCGCGCCAAAACGGACGCACGACATAGCCCGATACGTTGAGGTCTTGGCACACTCGTGTGTACGCATTAGAGCTTGTGTTCCCTTGGGTTTTCTCCTCGGCTTTTCGTAGGACGTCTAGAGTCCAGAGGGACGTTCTGGGCGTGCCAGGTTGGGCGGATCCTAGAAGGTCCTCTGGAACTTGGCATTTGGGGCAAGTTCCGGACTTAGCGCAGGTGACCAGACATTGTTCTGGGTAATCTGCAACGTAGGCTGCAAGAATGGGGTGAACTCGACGGACCTCTCCATTGCCAGAGGTAACGTCGATGCCTTCTTTTCCTGCCTTGACCAGTGGTTCCAGGATTGCTCGTACTGACGCATGGAATAGTTGCTGAACTAGAGCGCGTTGCTTGCGCTGAGTGATACCGTCAGAGCTGACCTTGTCGACGGAAAGATAACCAATGAGAATACATGCATGCTCAGATGGCTTGCGCCTCAGAGCACGCGGTATATTGCCCAGCGTCATGTAGACTGGGTAAGCCGCCTTGTTTCCTGAGAATTGGGTGAGCTGCGTTTTGTCGGTCGCTATAATGACCGGCGCAACTGCAGCTCCTTCAGGTAGTAGACTCTTGTTCTTGAATCAGCAATCGGTATATGCAAACTGATGCTGACCGCTCACCTGGACAGCGTGCCACCAACGCCCCGTCCACATTTCGTTGTACAGGCGATGTGTCCTCGACGCATCAGAGAAAATCCGCCTAGGTCGATAGACGATGTGATCGGCATGCTCCGGGTTTCCTAGCAAAGTCCTGATTGCTTGAATAATATCGCGGAACTGGAGAAGATGCTTCTCGTTCGGACGGTCCTTGAACGAGAGGCATCGTTCCATCCACTCAGCCCTGTCAGGAAGAGAGTCCACGCGTTGCAGGAGAGAGCGACTGTTGTGATACGAGAGGCCGAGTCTCTCCTGGAACTGAGGCGTGTAAGCAAGTATTAGTATGCACACCTCGTAGAATTTGGAATACAACTACTCACCCCAGGAATCTCTAACGCCCTGTCAATAGATCCCAAGGTAAGTCCTTCCTGGATAGCCCATGAGGCGAATCGCCAGTCCATCTCAGACTCGAATGGCGCCCATGGATTCTTCGTCTGTTCCTCTGCGTCATCCGCGCCCTCTTCTTCTGCGTCGGCGTCCGCACTTCCGTCTTCTCCAGGTTAGAATCATGCTCATCCCCAGTGAGAATAATGCACCTCACCTGATCGTCCATCCTCCCTGCCCTCTAGCCATTTCCTACGTACTTGTGAATCGACTTGAGTTACCACGCCTGCCTCTTCATCTTCATCCACTACTCGCTCATCGTCATCGTCGTCCAGAGAGAGCGCCGTACGTCTTGCATTCGGAGTCGATGCGGTCGAAGGCCCTGCAGTCGACGGCCCGGGTGCGTCTGCATTTCCTCCTGGATCAACAGGCCGCTTCGAAGGCGCACAGACCTCAATAAAATCGAACAGTGAGTCCAGTTCATCGTCCTCTCCTTCGCCATTGCCATCATCCTCTTCATCCTCTTCATGTGAATAGTCTGGGGGGTGCCGAGGATGGCCATCGTTGTCCCGTGGACTTGACGTTCCGACTGTCCTGAATATACCATTCTTTTAATAAATCAAGCCTGGCAGTGAAGTATCCGGCATACCTTGTATCCTCAACCACTACGTCGTCGTCTAACCTCTCATCTTCGACTGCGAACAACGCTTTCAATTTTCCTTTCTTGTACCAGGAGCATTTTTTGCTCATGCTCTGGTGGGCGCAGAGGCCCTGCGTCGTCTTGAAAGGCTGATGACAAGCGCCGCAGGTGTCATTGAGGAGCTCCTCAAAGGTGCGCTTTCGTTTCGGCATACCTAGCCCATAAAACTCACTTCAGATCGATACAGACGCAGCGAAGGAATAATAACTCACTGGGAGTGAAGGGCCAGAGGAAGGTGAAGTTGCACTGGCGTCCAAAAAGTGCAACAAATTGCAACGACCCTTCATCTGTCATTACGTTACATTAGTGAGATCTCGCGCGTCAACTCAGCGCCTTCCGGAACGCCTTTCTCCTTCAACCTCCATGTCGACTCAAGGTGCGAACGTTGGTATTGATACTGAGTTCCAGCCTGTTGCACGATCCCTACTGACCTTATGTTGGTATAGGTTTAGCCTTCGCGTTGTAACCGGACACGCATGGTATATCGCAATCGATATATTGACATCTGTTCTAAGGTACGTACTGTAGTTTTTTCTGTTGAACGGACTACAAGGCTGCGCCACCGATCGAGCTGCGAGCTGTGGCGTGCGATGCGCAACCGCAACGCCCTTGCGCCTCCCACGCCACAGGAACAGGACTCGGACCCTGCCGCTGAGCGCGCTGGGCGCGAATACTACGGATTAAGTCAGTGGAAGCCTACGTCAAGGTCAGAAGTCGCGATGCGTACTTAGCCGTGAGACGTAGTGGCTGTAACGAGCAGCCTGTGAATGGGTGCCAGTGGGAGAGTGAGGCCAGTTCACAGGCAGAGGTGAGTCGGACGTATTCTTAGCTGATAAGGCTGAATGCTGTGGCGAGGATGCATGCGGTGCGCCGTGCGGGGCTAACCCCGGCCTTGTCAAGTGACAACGAAGTCTCACTTGACTAAGCCTCCCTGGCGGCCGCTCTTGGTTCTTCAACGTCTCAGCTCCCCAGGAGGAGACCGTGAACCAAGATGTCCACCATGTCTCTACTTCGATCTACTACGCATCCATCTCGCTCACCCCCTCCCCGCTCTCCTCAGCCTCGCCTCAATAGTCACAACAGCGCTAAGGGGAAGGGGGATCGAGGGTCCCAGACTTACCAGCAGAAACCTAACATCATTGGAGGTGAGTAGGTGCTTCGGCGGCACTGACAGATCGATTTCGCTCACTTGGGTATACAGAGAAATACAGCACTAGGAAGCACGTCCCTGTCACAAAAGCCAACGCAGCCGAGCAAGGTAGGTATCCGAACGCCACATGTTATCATGCGCGCAGATCGCTAATCGTTGGTCCTCACAGAGGTAGAGAGTGATCTGATCGACACCGAACAATCAGGTATGTGTTACGTGCTCGTCCAGTGGTAATCAGCCCATGCAGCCAGCTAATGTTAGTGATGCACAGCTGCTACCAAGGACGAGTATGAGTACCCAGAGGTGGTTCGCAAGGCCTTCGGAGACCGGTACCTCGACCTCCCACACGTCACTGGCGAAGTCGTGAGTATCTGTATGCGACTCATATCACAGTAGCTGACTGAGTCTCTACACACAGAAGGTCACCGGTTTCACTGCGCAGGACTGGAAGAATTTGCAGGGGTGGATCGAGGCGCACGACGACCTCAATAAATTTGAGTGAGTGTTCTTGCTGTGCGGCGGCTTAGCGTCATCTCATCTCATCTCACCGTGCCATTGCAGGTTCGAGTATGATCAGGAGAAGCAGGAATTGACTACGATGACAGCCAGTTACCTGCACGATCTTCTCGGCACGATGCAAAGGCGTCACATCAACATGAGATGGTACACCTTCTTCACTTCACCAGAGTGGGTACAACTCGCGCTCAATATCTCGAATGACCCTGCGGACTACGCGTCCATACGAGGAAAAGGTGGCTCGAAGAAGATTGCCGATCTGGTCGAGGCTATCGCAGTTGGGCGTGACCTACTCATCACTTCGCTGAACGAGACCGCACAGTCGCAATCCCTGTATAATGAATACAATACGGATGGGAAGCTATCGAAGGTCAGTACGTTGGCTGCCAACATATATGATTACTCATGTACGATGAAAACAATAAGGAGGGGGCGCTAACGAAGGTCAGTACTCGGCTGCCAAAATATCCGATTGCTCAAGATATACCTAAGCTCCTGGAAATGGCGGAACGACTCGTTGGTGAAGACGTGGACGACGCGGAGCTCGTCGCCTTAACGTGCTTCAACATCGAGGAGCTAATACCTAACGGCACCGATAAGACAAAATGGTCGGCGCCTCCAAGAAAGAGTTATACTGCCAGTGCCCTCGCCTTTCAAGCAGCCATGTACGATGCTCTGTCTGCGAGTAACGCAGGTTTGATTCGTGGTGCGGGTCCTCTGGTGGCCGAACACAGCGCCGTGTTCTTCGGCGCTGCGCGCGTATTCTGGATCTACATACCGATATCTGCACTCAACACGCTCAGGAAGGCGGTTAAGGAAAGATGGTCCATGGAAAAATGGGTCGCTAGTGGCTTCGCTATCGTAAGTAACCGTGCTCTGTCACAGTTCCTTGCTTACTGACCACTTCAATAAGCCGGTGCTCGAGTCGTACGACGACAACCAGCAGACCCAGGTCAAACACTTCCTTGGCAACGTTCAGGAGGGGTATAAGCAGATGCTGCGGATGCTGGCTGAGGTCTTGATGACGAATCCGCCGCATCAGAACATCCTGGGGAAAGCACTCGCTCAAGTCCAAGATGACAAACAACGCAGCGCCCAGTACGAACAACTGACTAAATATTGCGAACACCTTCTCCACCCTCCGGACGAAGCTTTGAACTTCGACGACCACATTCCCGATATCATCGCAGCGGTCAAGGAGGGTGCCCTAGGTACTGCAATGGACCGCCTATACGTCAACTCCGGAGCTACACAAAAAGAGCGCCGTTCTCGTCTGCGTAAGACGCCGGAAGAACTCCTAGCAGGCTTACGATACATTGCGGATACAGGAGGAGTCAAGCGGAAGCCCTCTGAGGAGGACGTGCAGGCGAACAAGCGTCCCCGCGATGGGCCGAGCACGGCGTGAGTGAAGCTTAATCTCCGCGTGTGCAGTGCGAAGATGCACCGGATCGTGACACACGGCTCATCGCTGTCTCATCGTCCCCACCGTCATCGCACCTATCTTCACCGCCCTTCGTCGCCGCTGCCGCATCCCTCGTCATCTGCATCCCTCGTCATCAACGCTGCACCCCTCGTCATCGCTGTCGCACGCCGTCGCAGCACCCCTCGCATTGTCGCACCTCTCGTTGTCACAGTTCTATTCCCACGTAGTTTCTCGTCGTCGCCTTTCGTGGCACCTGTCGTCGCTCGTCGTCCCTTCTTGTCGCACCTCTCGTCTCTCGTCGTACCTCTCGTCGTCGCTGTCATTGTGTAGGATTAGCATGAGCAATATCCGTCTATTGTGTACTGGATGTACGTGTTAGTTGTACGTGTTCGTTGTCGTTTGCTGTCGTGTTACTCACAATGCTAGCTATCGCTATTGATGGACTTCTACGGACCTTAGCAACTAATTGATTAAGACTGACTGACGTCAACTGAATCAGCTAGGGGTAAAGTAGTCCAGAGGCGTGCGAACGGCGAGCGGGCGGCGACGTGCAGCGCGATGCACACGACGATCGCTATCACGTCAGGGCCAACGCCGTGCCGACGGATGCGCGGCGGGCAGACAAGAGGACGGGCGGGCGAGCAGCAACACACACCCACCGGATCGCAGGCATCGGGGTAAGCAAGCGGACCGGCGGGCGGCGAGCGGGTGGAGGGTACAGGGTGCGGACCTCCACTGCGCACGACGACAGCGAGCACGCAGGGCCAATGTCCTGCGTTCGGACGTAGCCTACGACCGAGCAGCGGGCGTATGAGTGGACGAACGGACGAATGAGCCGGCCGAGCGGTTGGGCGAGCGGAAGAGTGGAAGAGAGAACGGGCGGGCGGGCGAGCGGAAGAGAGAGCGGGCGGGCGAGCGGAAGGGCGAGAGGGTGCACGAATGGGTCGGTGGGCAGCAGGGCAAGCAGATGAGTATGAGGGTGAGTGAGCTGACAAGAAAACGAGCGAGCGAGGGATGGGCAAGGTATGGGCAAGGTGAGTAGACAGCTGGCAAGGGGTAGATCGCAGACACGCTGACGAACGCGTGCAGGCGGAAGAGCAGGTAGACAGGAAAGCAGACCAGCAGGCGATTTGCCCGTCTGCTGCACGACGCTCACATCTGCGACGTCTACGCGCACACGCGGCCGACGGAGCCTACTGAGTAAGATTTGACGTTCCGAACGGTAAACCCGGAGTGAGATCTGGCCGTCTGAAACGGTGCGGCCGGCGCCGGCCGGAGGGGTCCGGGTCAACGTTGCAGACGTTGTCGTTGCCAGCACGTTGCCAGCGGTCTGGCCGGAGTGCATGCCGGCCGGCTCTGCCTCGTCTCCAACGTTGCGGCCGGCCTTGCCATCCCTGAATACTGTCCCCAACGATCCACCCGGCCTGTTTTCACGGTACGTTGCAACGCTCCGGCCGGAGTGCATGCCAGCCCCGCACCCCCTCCTCAATGTTGCGGCCGGCCTGTTTTCACTGGACGTTGCAACGCTCCAGCCGGACTACACCCCGGCCGCCCCCCCACTTCTCAACGATCCGCCCGGCCTCTTTCACCCAACGTTGCAATGCTCCGGCCGGAGGGTATGCCGGCCGGTCATCCCTCGTTCCCAACGTTGCGGCCGGAGCAGGCAGAATTCAAAGTGGCCAGGCAGTCCACACTGCAAACAGTCCGGCCGGTCAACAGATATAGCATTGCAAACGAGCCGGCCAGCCTCAGGCCCTACCACTACAAATGGTCCGGCCGGACTTTTTGCCGGCCGAAAAGACAATGTCTCGGGCCAAGGGTACAGCCAAAACTCGGCCAAAGCAGCCAGACATTTTGCCGGCCGAGCTTTTGCTTCACCGACCTGGCAAGCATTGTCTCGGGCCGAAAAGTTGACAATTTTCTCGGGCCGAAGATTTGAGTACTGCCTCGGGCCGAAGAGTTGGGCATTTTCTCGGGCCGAAGATTTGGCCGAAGCTCGGTGAAAACAGCCGGGCTGTCGGATTGCCATATAAGGAAATTTGGTATTGACTGGTAGTACTTCATTGATAGACTATAGTATCAATTCCCTAGTGACCAAAGATGTCTAGTTAGGCCAGGATGTGCAAAACAAGATTTACTCACAGGCTTCTTTGCACAACAAGCTAATCAATTTCTGAAGCCAGTTTTCTTTTCCCACACTGTTTGACTATCTAGGATGTGTTGTTTCAATGCATAGAGTATATCCCCAACAGGAATAGTCTTATTCTTTGAAGCTGAATACAGGACAACAGATAAGGGGCATACAGGTATGGTACCGTGCTGAACAATGTTGACTCCTGCAGACAATCTACATTCAAAACACTGTTTCACAACCTCTGATGGTTCATTTACCCATAGGGAGTGAATCCTCCAAAGGAACAGTCTTATTCACATAAGCTGAATGTAGTACAGAGTCAAGGCAAGGGTGTATGGGTATACATGTCATACTGTGTTTACTTCCTGAAGCCAATATGCTTTCCCCACAATGTTCCACAATCTAGAGTAGCACATTTCAATGCAACAAGCAAGTCTCCCAAAGGAATAGTCTTATTCTTTGAAGCTGAACTCGGGGATGAAGATAAGGTGAATATGCATTATATTGTGAGAGACATACTTTGGATTATTGTCTGTCTGGGTGTCACACTGAAATGTTGTACCAGCATGCACATTGCACCTGCCACAGAAACATTTACATTGGTAACAGTCCGGCCGGCGAATCCTCATCCTCATAGGAGATGGTCCGGCCGGAGTGCATGATCCCCTTAACTCTGTACCACATTCAGCTTGTGTGAATAAGACTATTCCTTTGGAGAACAGATTCCTTGTGAGGAAATGAACCATCAGAGGTTGTGAAACAGTGTGTTGAATGTACATTGGCTGCAGGAGTCAACATTGTTCAGCACGGTACCATACCTGTATGCCCCTTATCTGTTGTCCTGTATTCAGCTTCAAAGAATAAGACTATTCCTGTTGGGGATATACTCTATGCATTGAAACAACACATCCTAGATAGTCAAACAGTGTGGGAAAAGAAAACTGGCTTCAGAAATTGATTAGCTTGTTGTGCAAAGAAGCCTGTGAGTAAATCTTGTTTTGCACATCCTGGCCTAACTAGACATCTTTGGTCACTAGGGAATTGATACTATAGTCTATCAATGAAGTACTACCAGTCAATACCCCTGTGAGTAAATCTTGTTTGCACATCCTGGCCTAACTAGACATCTTTGGTCACTAGGGAATTGATACTATAGTCTATCAATGAAGTACTACCAGTCAATACCAAATTTCCTTATATGGCAATCCGACAGCCCGGCTGTTTTCACCAAGCTTCGGCCAAATCTTCGGCCCGAGAAAATGCCCAACTCTTCGGCCCGAGGCAGTACTCAAATCTTCGGCCCGAGAAAATTGTCAACTTTTCGGCCCGAGACAATGCTTTGCCCATTGGTGACGCAAACCGTTGGCAGGTGAAATGTCTGGCCACTTTCACCACCAAGCTTCGGCCAAAAAATCTTTCGGCCCGAGACAATCTGAAAATCTTCGGCCCGAGACAATCTGAACAATCTCGGCCCGGGGAAATCTGTGCCCGGTCGGCAAAGCAAAAGCTCGGCCGACAAAATGGCTGGCTGCTTTGGCCGAGTTTTGGCTGTACCCCGGCCCGAGACATTGTATTTTCGGCCGGCAAAAGGTGAAAAAATCCGGCCGGCCGGACCATTGACACTGACATTTCTACTGGCCGGCCGGACCATTTGCAGTGGTGTATTGACTGACCGGCCGGACCATTTGCATTGCTGGGAATTGATTCCATGTGCTCCGGCCGGACCGTTGCAATGTGTACATTGCTCTGGCAGGAACTCTGGCCGGGCCGTTGCTAATGGTACCATGTTTATTGTATTTACTGACCGGCCGGAGCATTTGGCAATGTAAACTGCCCGGCCGCTCCGTTTAGCTCAGAAATCTGCCTGCTCCGGCCGGACTGTTGGAAAGAGGATGACCGGCCCATATGCCCTCCGGCCGGACCGTTGCAACATCTCGGGAAGGTTCCAGGGGAGGCCGGCCGCAACGCTGGAGATGGTGGATGACCAGCCGGCCATGCCCTCCGGCCGGAGCATTGCAATGGCACCGTTGCAAACGTTCGGCCGGACCCTGGGGCTGCTCCGGCCGGCCTCCGGGTCAACGTTCCAAACGGGCAAATCTCACTCCGGGTCTACCGTTCCGAACGGGTTAGACACACTAAATAATGTGGCGACGAACGATCGACAGGTGCAGGGATGACGAGGAGGTGCGAGCGGGCGGGCGCGAGGGCGAGCGAGGGGGCCCACGAACGGGCGGACGGACGGGCACGGGCGGAC